TTTTCTTTTTGATTTTTTACCTGGATTACTGAGATGCATCAGGACCTTTATTAAACCCTGCTGCTGTCCTCGGGTCAAACCGACCCCTGCTGGACCTCTTCAGTTCTACACTTTGACACATTTCATCCAGCAGGTGGAGCAGATTTACCTCCTGCAGACAAACAGCTTCTTTTATTTATTATTATTGTTGATTATTCTTAATTTTAAATGACTGATTATTATTGCTTTAATAACCTGATGTAACTTCATAAAGAATAATTTTTTTACTCTCTGGGCCCCAAACTATACTGTAATAAAAACTGCATCCACTCACAGAAATGTTTTTATGAACTTTTCGAGCAATTCAAGTTCAGATTTATAAACAGATGATTAATTATAAACATGCAAACACTTTGAGTTTAAGAACAAAACACTTTAAAACTATTATATTTTAAGAAGAGACAGTGAAAAAACACAGAGCTGATGTATAAACATTTATTGTTGAGGATGTTCATGTTGACCAGTGCTCGTTTGGTTTTTACCAGTCTTATGTTTTATTTTAGCATCTTATACACTTCCTGTTGACACCTGTGTTTAAAACTCATTTCTCAGCAGTGATTGGCTGTTCCACCTGTGTGAAAACATGAGATGTCATTTTACAGTTAATATACATCTGAACCAAAAACAAGCAGGAAGACAGAAACCAGCAGAAAAACACAAATGTAAAAACAAAAAGAGAAAAACTACACAACATAAAGCAGACATATAAAACTTTGTTTTTCTCTAAGGAAAAAGAGGCCGATGGGAAACAGAACAGGTTTTTGGTCGGAGGAAACGTGAAGGTTTTGTTCTTATAAACAGTATGTACAAAGGTTCAAGTAGCTCCTGAAGGCTTCACCGTCTGAAGCACATTTTATTACATAAACATTTATTATTAATAATAATATTCTGCTGCTGACGAACAAAAGCACGGCTGTGCTGGGAGGAAGGAAGAGCTCTAATTAAAACCTGAGAAGTTGACAACTTCTAAGCTTCCTGCACTGAACTACAGAATCAACTTTTATTTTGAAAGGCCAAAGGGTCAGCTGGGATGAAACCAGGCTGCAGCTGTTGGAGACAAATGACCAGCAGCTGTCCAGACGGAGTCTCCAAACTGTAACTGAAGTCCAAACAGTGACCTGAGCGAGTGCAGGGGCGGAGTCAGCAGAGGTGAGGAGACTGAACCAGCCCGGCTCACAGGACCAGAGCTGGACTGAACCTGGACCTGGACCTGTGCTCCCGTCTTCACACAAACCTTCAACTCACAACTGCAGGACGCTGGAGACGCACCAAATCAACACACACTAACAGTAGCTGCTAGCTAGCTAAATTTTACTGTTAGCTAGCTAGCTTTTACTGTTAGCTAGCTAGCTAACTTTTACTGTTAGCTAGCTAGCTAACTAACTGTTATCTAGTTAACAGCTAACTAGCTGTGAGAAGCTGTGCAGTGGAAGCACACAGGAAATCTTCAGATTTGTCTCCAAACAGCAGCAGCCCACTGACCGAACATATTTCTGCACCGTTTGTTTGTCTTTGGCATAACATCAGAAAGTGACCTGATGGAGCAGATTTAACATTTTCTAACTGGATTTAATGTGTTTTTATGACGCTCTGTTCACTTTTAACTGGAAACTATAAACCTAGTTTTCATTTCTAAACAATCCAAACAGAAAGTTTAGTTTGAAYTGAAAGTTAAAGGAATGTAGAAGACATTAATTACAGGTTATAATTTACAGMTGAGTCGGCTGATTTTATGGGTTTTAGGACCAGAAACACCTGTTAATAAAATGAYGTCAGCTAAAGGTTGAACAGAAGACACGAGGCTTTAGCTGTTAGCAGCTGAAGTTTGGTTCTTGGTCCTGGTTAGTGATGATTATAAAGTTTGTATAAAATAAAAAAAGGTAAAAAGTCTGGACAGGTAATAATATAAAGGCTGAAAACAGGAGCAGCTGAAATGAGAATCACTAAAAACTAATGAGATTTTACACCTTCAAGCTCAACTTAATAACAAATAAAAGAACAGTGGGGGGGGGG